TTTATTTCACAAAAAGTTACATTTTCTTGCATGTATTCTTCAGAACAATTGCTTGCATGTATTTTGTCAAAACAGGAAAGCTATACCAAAATAAAAAAAAATAAAAAAATAAAAAAACAACACAAGGTTAGACAATGGAGGACTCTGCGATTTCCTTAGCATTCTCTTGCTCGCTTTCACTACTCCCTCAGTATGATGAACATTTTCCTTGCCTGTCAGATCGACCCCTTTGTCCTCAGAATCTAAGAGAAGTGTAGTAAACTCCTCAAACTCAAACTATGAACAATGAATACCTATCCACCCTTTTTCTTGCCACAAACTTTAGTTCTAAAGCTGAGATTTGATAAAAAAAAAATTGGAGGCGATTCCCTGCTTCGTAAGGACAAGCTATGCTATGGGTATGGTGAAAATCATCCCAAAAAAGGGGAGCTCAGGCAACTGCCTTCCATAGAGATTGGACCCAACCTTAAGAAGTCTAACTCAATGACTAGGCCCCATGTCAATGAAAGAAAAACTTCGAGCTTCAATGCCTTCTGAATCTATACAGGTCACAACATATGCCACTCTGTTAAATAAAAAAAAGTTGAATCTTGATGTCAAGATCATCCAGTTGGACCTAAAATTTACACCACTAAAACATTAACTCATCCCTATAGATGATTCACTACCCGACTGCGACAAGCTTCGTGAGGGGTATCGAGGAAATCATCTTAGGGATCTACGCAAAAAAAAAAGGCAAGTTATCCAAACAATGGAACTCACACCATCCTAAATTCAATTCATACAAAGGAAAAAGATCACCCCAAAGGCCAGGCTCTGATTGGCCAATAGGTATAATACAAGAGAAACCACAAAAAATTGCAAATGTAAGATAAAATTTTGAGGTATGAACCAAAGAGAATTTTAATTTATTTCACAAAAAAAGGTTACATTTTCTTGCATTTATTCTTTAGAACAGGTGCTTGCATGTATTTTCCTAAAACAAGAAAGATATTCCAAAATAAAAAAAAAATAAAATAAAAAAACAACACAAGGTTAGACAATGGAGGACTCTGCGATTTCCTTAGCATTCTCTTGCTCAACTTTCTCTACTCCCTCAGTACGATGAACATTTTCCTTGCCAGTCAGGTTGAACCCTTCGTCCTCAGGATCCAAGAGAAGTGTAGTAAACTCCTCAAACTCAAGCTATTTAGGGCCGATCAACTTTTTTTTCACAAATTTTTCAATGGTGAGGGAGGTGTCGACCTCAATCTGACTAGAGAGCCCCTCAACGTGCTCCTCTTTAGTGATCAACAAAGAAACCCTCTTCTTGAGCCCTTGATTCTCCTTGAGGAGAACAGTGATCTTTTCCTCATGGTCACGAGCCTCCGAGGCTCTCTTGCCAAAAAGCATTTTCAGCCTTCTTTGGCCATAATTGCTCGCCTCTTCAACTTATTAATTTTTAAAGCTGAACTCTCGGCCCTTTTCATTTGTTCTGTCAAGGAGAATCGCTTGAAAGTGCTAAGCCTTCCAAACTAAGGTGTGGTATCGATCAGTCGTCTACAACATATCTGTCTCGGGATCCTAGTAATTTCTTGATCCACCAAAATAATATACTGTTTTAAGTACATATTTTATGCTTATTTTTTGTGATATTCCACTTTAAAGAAGTGTATTTTCATGTTTTTGTTGAATGTATATCATCTTTAGGTATTTGGAGCAAAAATGACAAAAAGGATGAAATTTGGAACAAAATCAACAAATTTTGGAATTCTGGCGCATGATGCGCCGTTTGACAAAGTTTGGCGCATGATGCACAAGAGACGATTTTTTGCAGATTAAGGTTGTTCGAGACGAATTTTGTGTGAATTTCAAAGGGACACTTGTTCTACACACCTATTGGAGTAACTCAATGCATCTATACACTTTGAAAGTTTCTTTTATGAAGGGATATGTCTCTTAGATCAAATGACACATCTTTTAAATTCAAAATAGTTGACTTTTGGAGGGAATTTTAGAGGGAATTTTAAATTCCTTTTGAGAGAGGCAACCCAAAATAAAAGAGAGATTTTTCAAGGAGTTGAATGGGGGACGGAAAGTACAAGAAATTGGGGGTGGCGTGAAAGGCAAGGAGCGAAGAAGAGGAGATTTTCTTCTAGGGTTGTATGAGGAGAGGGAATGTGAGAGATTTCTTCTTCATTACACTTCTAAGAGAGAATTGAGTGTGCTTGTAAGGAGAGAAAGACTTGGAGAGAATCTCTAGGGATTTGCTTGGGAAAGATTGTGAGATAAGTTATGTTCTTTATTTTTTTTATTTTGTAAACTTATTTTTATATATGAAATTCGAGTTTTATCGTATCATTCTCATGAATTTTGAGTAGTCTTCTTTATCCTTCTCCCTAGTTTGAGATATGCTTTTATGAAGAATTGATTTTGTTTTCTATGGCTTTAAATGTCAATAATTTGTGATAATTTGAACTCCGATCTTCATTTACTTTTCGATTTGACCAATTGAAATGTTAAAACATGTTAAAAAACATATGTTCTGAAAAGGGATATGATTTCTACAACAGGGGCAGAATCACATTTGATTTCATGGGAGAGTATGTCATCCATGGAATTCAGTGCAAATAAATAGAGAAATATACTTTGTTGGATGCATAATTTGAGATTTTAAGGCGACGTATTAAAATCCCCAAATTGGTCCAGTTGATTGGAAACTAATGCGAGATTGTTAGCCCTCAGGGGAGAGAGTAGTGGGAAGTCGCTTATGGTCGTCTGTTTGACCACGATGGCTGTGGGGTTAAGCTCTTCAGGAACAGGCTGGATGGGTGCTTTAACAAAAAAACACATGATCGTCAGCAAGAATCAAGAGTTTCACAGGAGGATCAACCGATCGTCCTTCGGGTTATTTCTTGATCTTTTTCTGCTGTGACCCGATGAGTGAATTAGAAGATCACACCTGATCTGCTTAGTCGACAACTTTCTTTTTCTTCGCAACTCTCATCTTACTGGTTCCCCTATCATGCTTCTCATCCGTCGATCTTTTCTTATCCTCTGATTCCTTTTGGTCCTTGGCTCTCTTACTACCGAGGGCCTTAAATAGCGTGTCCTTATAGTGGGATGTTGCTTCAGGAACCTCTTCACCGACCATTACAAAAGACTCACACAAAAAACAAGCACCACACAAGGAGAGAATGAAAGGAATATGAAGCATAGCCTTCAACTCCTTGCAGTCTATTTATCATATCCATGAACACATAAATCTAGGAAAGTCATTTATTATGCAATTATTCCATCATAAATTAGATTCATCTTCTTGTATTTTTTATATTATAAAAACATTCTCTTTATTTTTTTTTTAGCACGACTTAAAAAAAAACCAGGGAATTAAATATGTATACAAAAAATAATGTCAACATGAATCTCGAAGAAATTCAACGACCAAACACGATATTGGTCGAGGAAGGATTTGCCAACCGATTATCATCAACTCAAATCACAACGAGAGAATCTGTCAAATCGAATCTATGATTAATCAGATCATTCACCCATGAGCTTTTGTCCCTGAGAAAGCTACAATCGAACCGATCAACCTTACGCAGACCGATCGATAACAATTTTTCACCCTGGAAAACCCATAGGCTTTGTGAAATATTAAAATAACCCCCTCCACTATTCTAATAAATAGAGAGCATAAATGTAATTTTAAGCCTTTACCCTCTTATACCTATAAATAGGGGGTCATTTTTCAAATATAGGTCACACATTTCTATTTTTCATTATTGCTCTCTATCAAACCTCTCTTCTATGCTCTATTTCTTGGGTGTGCCACCTGAATAAATTTTGATTCAACAAGTCTTCTATTAAAATTTTCTATTTAGAATATTATATTTTTATTTGTTGCATAACACTATGCATTTGAAAGTATAACATGGATGTGTCTGAAGAAAACAAAAATAAAGTATATGTGTTAGATATGTAAATAAATAGGAATTAAATAATATGCATGTAAATCTTTTTTAGTTTTTTATTGGTCATAATTTGATCCCAAATGAAAATTGAGATATTTTTTTAAAATAAATATGCAATGAGGATATTTAACTAAATACTTATATTATGAGAGAAATAAAATAAAATTTCCCAATAAGAGCTAAAAACTACTGAGCATTTACAATCATATCACACAATTCATATCTATTTACCTACCAAACACAAGCATTTATAATTAGGACCATTTCTTCAAAATTTAATTATCACTATCATTATCTTTTTAAAAGTGAAATACATATTTTCATGAATAATTTTATGACACCAATGTATTGTAAGTATACATATTAAACTTATGGCGTTAGATATGTAAATACATAATAATTATTTAGTATATATGTAGTATTTTCAAAACTTTTGGAAGAGTTAAAAAATTTCAAGGGGATTTACATACAACAAAATAAGTACATTATGTAATCTTCGGTATTCATTGTGGTTGATCCGGTAGAGAGGGATCCCTGACAATTCATCTTCCAAGTATCTGATCGGAAAACACAAAGCTCCCATCAAAGAAATCAATGACCATTCAAACCAAGAACTGCAATTTTTCACAGAGAAGATGCCTGACAATGTAGCCGAAACCGTCAATGGGCAAGTAAGGCGGGCAACCCTCAGGGCAACAATATAAATTTGACAGAAGGCTGTTGTGACAAGGTGAGAGGATTTCCGGCGAATGAATCCAGCCTCATTGTGCTTTTGCATTTGATGAACTTGGAGGTAGAGGATGCCTTAGAAAAGAAGGTCAAAATTGGAAACAAGGCTCCTCATTTCCTAGTATTGACATAGACCTGCTCTTGCGACTCAAGTATTAAAAAAAGAATTGAGTAGTTACGGTTATACATATATATTAAAGTTCAGGTGTGTTATGTTTTGCATATCGTGCATATAAATACCCTAAATCTAAATAATTTTCACTTTGGGGAGTCCCAAATTAACCATTTTTAAATTTCATGAGGGGACGGTATCCTGAATTTCGCAAGTTCGTCTGACTCGTGTTTGCCGACCGTCTCTGTTTGTTGACACATCAGCCCTAATTTCCATGCTCGTGTGCACTGGAACGCCATTCGGCTTCCCTTCTCTAATTCCAAAGGATCTGATTAACTGAAAAGTGGGCGAGGAGCTCTCACCTCCCGCTCACATGGCGAAACGCCAGACGGAGAGCGTTCCGCTCTCCAAATTTGGCATTCTTGTCGCGCAGCTAGAGTCCATCGTCGCTTCGGCCTCTCAGCAGCACCCGGAACCGCTCCTCTGCTTTGATCTCCTCTCCGCGCTAGTAGCCGCCATTGAAGAAGAGTCCCAGGTCTTATATTCGGATTTGCCTTGAAAGATCGATCCCTCTCATTCCCATATTTTGTTGTTTCGAGAGTTGTTCAGATTGCCTTACTTCCACATCTGCTTGTTCAGCCTTATCGTTTCCATTTTAGCTATAAATATTGCTACACCTTTGGGTATCATTATCAACGGTATTTTCAGGTGGTTGAACTTGCTAGGTCTGGCTGCTCGAAGTGATTAGTGAAGCTTTTCATTCCTTCACGAGGCAATGATTTTTTTGTTTGGTTCTGTTTTTATTCCTGGACCATGAAGTGGTTTGAACTGCAGCATTGCGTCCCCGTGAACTTATATTTGATACTTGGAATTGATATAGCCACGAAGGGCTTAATACTTTATGGGATCTATTGCTTTGTTCTTTTAAAATTTTTAACGTAATTTTATCTAATTCATTTTTTGTTTTGCTTCGATAAAAATTCTAAGGAAGGGTCATTTAATGCATTATGTTGTTGATGTATGGTCATTCTTTTATCGCAGGAGATTATAGTGCAGTGGCAACGGAAGTGCGAAGATGCCTTGTTTTCTTTGCTTGTTCTGGGAGCTAGGCGTCCCATAAGACGTCTTGCTTCCTTAGCAATGGTGAGGGTAATTGGAAAAGGGGATGGAATTTCGATATATTCTAGAGCAAGCGAAATATGCAAGAGCAAGCAGTCTCCAAGGATGGTTTGCTGATTGCAAACGGAGCGAACCCCTTTCCTCTGCTGGTTTGCCTGACTACATAATGCTTTTTCCTTTAACTTTTGCCTCAGAAAGCCTAAATTTGTTGTTTTTGACAAGCAATTTCAGTTTCTTAGTGATGGAATGAAATTTTAGAACAAGTAATAATTTTTTATTGTTTGGCAGTACTTTCCCCAAAAGATAAGCATTTTAAGTAACCGACAACCTTGAACCAATGTATGTTACTTAGTCCTTGAGTGTCAAACCATTTTCAATGCTCTTAAAAGCTAATTTGTTAATGGAAATCTGAAGAACCATAAAAAAAAGCTACAAATTACTCGCAAGTTTTGCCTTCAACATCTAAAATGAATTGCCTTTTATCTGAATTCATTTCACTTACCATGAATTAATCATAAATTCCTGATGAACAAGCATTACAATGTTTTTATCTATCTCAATCACTTACAATGATATTGATTTTTTTTTCTTGCCCCTAGAACTGCTGTCAAGCAAATATTGACGATTTATTGATATTCTCACAATCATAAACATCTTATTGGAAAGTTTTCACAAAGTTAACGAAACTTTAGGTGCTTGTCGTGTCTGAGCCACTTGAGCGCTTTATGTGATGAGGATATCTTCTTTATTATTGGAGAAGTTACATTTAGAAACATTCAGACCAGCTATGTTTACTGATTTGGGCAATATTAAAATGAAAAACACAGTGAGTTGAGGATAGTTGAATTTGAGTTACAAGATTTACACGTGATGTAAGTTGGAAACCTAAAATGAAGAGCAACCACTATTGAGAAAGCTAAAAGGGCATCTTTTGAATGATAGTAAAAATCATATTAAAGGAGTTTCTTGAAGATAAGTGGTAAAGTTTATGTGTAAAGGATAATAAACAAATGTTTAGACTAAATCACTTTGCATGGAGAGGTGTCAATTAAGTTTAATAGGTAACTTTAAGTGGAATGAATTGTAACAAATTCTCGAAATCTCTCCTTTAATGATTTCTATATGAAGAATTTTAATCATAAATACAATACTGCAGAAATAAAATGAGAAGATAGTTAAAAACGGAGAACACGGTAGTGGTACTAGATGAGTGATGATGAACCATTTTTATTCATGTAATTGGCTTTCAGTGGTAATTATAAAATAAAAGAAGTGGCTTTGTTATATTTTTTACTTTAATTTGTTATCTCTATAAAGATTTTGGAGATTCATATTAGAGAATTTTGCTTTGCATAGGAGCAAACAATAAAATTTCTGTTAACTCTCTTTATTTCTTAGTTTGCTTTATTGAGTATTATAACAAATTTTGAATGGAATAGACTTGCGAGTTTGAGATATAAGGTAGAACAAGATTAAGCCCACCGAGATCTTGGAATCAAAAAGAGCACCTGATTGAATTTCTAGGCATGTTAAACATGAGTCACAACTTAGTTGAACATATATATTGAGGTTTGGCCAACATTTGATTAGTTTTGTAGATAATAGACTTTCCTCAGCATTTACTCGTTCTGACGTCAATTGCTTCTAAGAGAAGAATGTCAAAGAAGGACATTAATGCTTAGAGTGCTGTGCCTTCCTTCCCCATTAATTGGGTTTAATCAACTCTTGTTGTCATTGGTGCTTTGAACAGTTTAAAGATAAAGCTTGAGATTCTTGCTGCTACAACTCTAGACTCCTCGCCATAGAAGAGAACTCAGACATTGTTTATAGGAGAATGAGATATGTCATTTTAAGTAGTATTTTGAGATGGGATTGGAGCGCTCCCTTAGTAAGGAGGTGATTATTTTATGTATAGTGTTGACACATTTTTCTCCCAATGTTCATGCCATTCTAAAAAGAGTAAAATGGTTATTTGATATGCAAAACATTGCATGATTGACATAAAAGTTTCTTTACTTCATCGAGGTTAGGTGTTTGGTTGGCATTCACTTTTTTTTTTTTGCCATATCATGCTGCCCTTTTTTAAATAGGATTTGAAGCGCAAGTACTTTTTTTGTGAAGGCCGACAATGGGTGTAAGTTCCAAACTATTCCGGATTTGATACTAACAAGACCTTTCAGTTGTCGGCTTACATTGGGTGTGGGCTCTAAAATTCATGGCTTGATCTCTCTTGTTGAGAGTTTTGTATTATTTTGGGTTAAATTTTTAGAAGACTGTTGAGATAGTAGATAAGACACAGTCTATAGGTTTCATTCCCATTTTGTGAGGATTTTAAGATGGGATTTGAAGTTTATCATAGGCGCAAGTTCTTATGGCTAATTACTCATCTCAGTAATAGGAGAGCATTTTCGATTAAGGCTAATCATTATGTGCTAAGTATTTAGACTCAACACGTGATAGTAATAAACTTGAGAGTTTTAAATGATAAAAGGTCATTACTACAAACTTAAAGCAGATGATAGGGTAATAACGAAGAACCCATTTAAGATTTCATGACTCTATTATTCCAAGTCATTTTGGCCTCTAGTCTTCTTAGTCAGACGAGTACCCTCTATTCAGTTATTCGGGTAATGCCTCTCACTACTGCCTGCTGCAAGTAGGACCACCACTTTCTCCCATCATCACAATACTCACATACAATATCCCAACCACCTCCTGCAAATAATATTACCTCTGCCTTCACCTATATATGTAACAATTTTCTCCATAACAAGTTTTAATTTACATCTTTTATTCATATGCAATTTAATCTATATTCTCTATTCTCTATTCTATCCCTGCATTCTCTCTATTCTTTTGCTGTTGTTATTATGGAATTAGATCTCCTTGTGCTCTAACGAGCTTCGATTCCTCACAACCGAACACTACAAGCTTTGCAATGGCAACCTCGCAATCCTCCAAACCACAGGGTAACCTCTCAACCAAAGATGAACAAGGAAGCTGTATTCTCGGTATTCCACCTAATCTTAAATTTCTCACGAGTAATATAAGAAATATTGCTCACACTCAACTCTCTTTTGACAACTATCCACTTGGAAAGCCCAAGTTATCAAATTTTTCTCTGCAAACGGATTTATGGGATACCTAGATGGTAGCATTACTTGCCTGCCTCAATTTCTCTCTTCCCAAACCACCACCCGAACCATCAATCCTACCTATACTATGTGGATTTTAGTGGATCAAAACCTAATATTTGCTCTCTTCTCAATCATTTCACCATCCATTCTACCATACATACTCCATTTATCCACCATCGCAGAAGTATGACTGACGATCTCCAAACGTCTCCAACCTACCAATAGATCTCGGCTAATCCAACTCAAAAATGAGCTCCACCCTATGACAATGAATTCCTTATCCATGACACAATATCTCGCCAAAATTAAAATTAGACAAGGAGGATGTGGCCTTGTATACACTTAATGGATTGCTAGTGCAATGTCAATCATTTAAAATAGCTATCCGAACCAAACTCCAAACGATGGACTTACACCACTTCTACTCACTATTATATAGTGAAGAGATCAATCAACTGAGCGATACACTCAAGGCTGAACCCATTCCTCACCCAGTGCTTGCTCTCGCAGCTCCAAGCGACCACACCTGGAATACATCTCGTGGTCGAGGTAAGAATCAACAGAACAATAAACTAATGAAAGTTGGGAGGTCTCAACCGAAATCCTATATTATTTGTCAAATTTCCGATAAAACAGGTCACCAAACAACAACCTGTTGGCACCGCTAAAACCTCGACTACGCGCCAGTTGACCTCATTTTCTTTAGTCTTGGCTTCTTTCTCTCAGAACCTAGGGTCTAGCTTTAGGAGTTCCTTGTTGACCATCTTAGATGACTAGTATTGGAACCTACCTCACATAGAACTTCAAACCACTTCTTAACCTATTTTTGTGAAGACCTTGCATGAGTGTCCCCAAACACTTTACTTTTAGTTGCAAGGGCTAAGGACCAACATGTGGGGTCCAAAAGTGAGTTCCTACAGAATTAGGAGGCCTTAAGTAAACCCTTCGTGGCTCGACTACAAAAACATCACAAACACACATTTGATGTACATAAACATCACAATTCACTTCACTAAGGCTTACATACATCACACCACTAAAATCAATCTTCAAAATGATTTGTCGCAAGCTAAAATTCGGAGAAAAAAATTAAATTTAACACATTTTTGACCCTATCATCGACGAACTTATTCGGATGACCCCAGATGATGCAATGGACCACGCAAACGCGTTCGAGACGCCGTATTTGACTAGGAAGGACACTCATATTTCTATAATTTCGTGCGCTCAAACAACACAAAAATCAATACAAATAATTAATCAATTTAAGGAGGCGAGTTAGGGTTCAGCTCAGGTTCGATTCGGGCTGAACAAGAGCTAGTTGCACCAAGTCTTTCTTGATACCATGAATTGAATCAGAAATTTTGAATTTCAAACTAACTGCCCAATCTCACTTTAATGGGGTTTAATTAGGAGCTATTTCTTGTCAAATAAAATTGCTCCACAAACAGAAGCCAATTAATCTCCCGCCTAATGCCCTGTAACGGACCTTTTGGAATTATCGGGATACAAGATCCTACTCGTCTCCTTCTTTTGGTGATTCGACTCGCTCCCCCCTTTACCTCTTCTTCTCATCATGCCTCCCTTCTGATTCGACTCGCCATTTTTCTCGTCCGAACAACCACTTGGACTCCCCTTTCGCCTATTCTTCCAGTCAAACCAAGGCCTCATCCTCCCCTCACGCCGAACAGCCCGAAGCCCTCGCCTCATCCTCTCCTCACGCCGAACAGCCTGAAGCCTTGCCTCCCTCTCATCATTAACCTGCTTCGCCCCCCCTCTTTCTCACGCATGACAAGCCACGCTCGACGAGCCCCGTGCGACCAAACCTTCACCTCTGCCTGCTCCTCTCGATCTCGCCTCTTTCCTCCTTGCGACCACAGAGATTCGCCTGCTTCGTCTCCCCCTCTCTCGGCTCGCCTCCTCTTCTCTGCATCGAAGCCCCCCCGCTGGAAACTCTCGCGCTCGACCTCTCCTGCTCTACATCCTTTCTTCCTCGACATCCTCTTTTGCTT